GTTGGCGTCTGACCCGACTCATCACGTGTAACTTTCGATAGTGATCACTGTCTATCGTAGTATCTACCGTCTTTCCATTCCCGGATGTCACAAACTCACACTCGGTGTGAACTCACCAGAGCAAGATGCAACTAGTTATACCTCTATTTCTGCAGTTAAACGTACGAGAATTTTTTAAATTTTTGTCCGTAGAAAGTCTATCGCAATGTTAGCCCTCTATTGCTGAAAGAAGCCAGCAGGCGAGTAGCCTTCCATGCCTACAATGAAATCCAACATACAATCACTTCCTTGCAACAGTTGAGACCCATAAATTGCGTCCAGTGGGATCTGTTGGGTCAGAAAATTCGATCAGCCCAGCCTGTTCCTGCTTCTTCAACCTCTCGAACCCTGCTTGCGGACGCAGAAACTAGTGTTCTAAATGACCTTCTGGTAATTAGTATCGATCCCATTTGAGCAGTTGTTAGTTCCAACGAGCTGCGAAAATTTTGCCTGGGTTTGGCGTTTCTCACCATTGATTGATTCGGTAACAAACAAAGGCTGCCATACCCCACATGTAACGGAGGACGACTCTTTGGAGGAACCCATTTGGAAAACTGGATTGTAGCCACTTGAATAATTGATCAAAATGTATGCCTACCCGCAAGCGTATGTTTTTTCTAACTTTTGCTTCAATTGACCTACCCAAGTTTTTACCTGGTTGGTCGCTCGCGTCAAGAGAGTTCGAACTTAAATCGACAGGAAGTGCGTCGTCAATCATAAATCGCGTCAATGTTTACACAACTTAATAGAAACTGATGGCCTTATTATCAGTGGTAGAGCCATCTTCTGTGTTTGTTGATTTTTTTTGAAGCATGTTAGCTAAGACCCACTTTGGTGCATGTTGTTCACGAGCTAGGAGATCAGTCTGTTTGGTGTTGGGCAGGTCTTATTACTGTTCCTAATGCCCACCTCTACTTCTGTCTTTTCTGTCCAATTTGAAGCATCATCAATGTGCCGGAGGAATTGGCTGCTACCTGCGAAAATACTCCGGAAACACCAATTCGTCCTGTCAGCGTTGCCCAGACTGAGACCGCTGTTCCACCTAGCCAACCACCTCAGACAGAATCTGAACCACCCACGCCAGAGAAGGCAAGTCACCGCCAATTTCCCACTAATCAGCCACCTTTATATACATTCCTTCTATTGTTCTAACACAGTTTTGCACAGCAACTGACGAAGTTATTTCATTGTTAGCCCTTGTTAGAAGTGTATCAATGAATATCATTAATGTCGGAGGTTTTAATTACGTTAATGGTTTTTATAAGCTCCTTTCCGATTGTCTTTGTAAGATTACTATTCGTCATTCACAGAATGAGCAATCAGTCATTTTCGAAAGTTGGCCTGGTATAATTACATATTTTCACCCTTTGCTATTTTTTGACGAAACCGCGCTTTTTTATACTTCAGCCCTTCGAGGTCACCAAACGAAAGGTTTCTGCTCAACAAGATCTGCAGTTGAATGAATCCGAATGCATTCGCGCTGTTAATGCTATTGATGAGGCTATCAAACCGCGCCAGGCGAACGGCCGCACTAAGCCGATGGTGGAGCAGACACAAAATGGTGAGGTACAACATGATCTCAAGGAGGAAACGCTTGCCGTAGAACAGGCCTCCATCCTCCCCCAGAAGACTGTCGTCCGTATTGCGAAGGCGGCGGCTGTCTTTGTCGGTATCGTATGCGTCGCTGTTCTTGTGGCTGCCCTAGAGACCCACCCCAAACCAGGACAAGGCACCGGATGGACCAGCATTGCAGGACATCTCCGTCATCAGCCTTTGGTGTCCTCTTTCAACGAATATTTATATGACCCCGTGCGGAGGAATTTGGTAAACGGGTTCTCAACCCTCTTCAACCGACAGTAACTGTCTCTTAAGGTTCTTCTTTCTATTCTAATCCTTACTTGATTCCAGGCTCTTCTCACTATCAGCGTCATCATCTCATAATCTTTTACTTTGTTAATAATAAGTATATTTTCACAGGCTTTCTCCCCCCCCACGGCTCTCTTGTACTTAAGGTTCTGTATTCCATTTCTTGTACACCGGTACCGTATATAAACTGCACGTTTATTTCAATCTCCTTTCTTGCTTCCCCGCCGCGCG